AACGATTTATATAAAACCACCAAAAAAATACACTCATACGCAGTTTTCATAGCCAAACGTAACATTTAAAAACGCGTACAAAAAAGTCGGTTCGAAAAACAGATCTCTCAGAGTGCCCCAGCCTTAAACTGCACCAACGGACACTTCAAATTTGAAATTCAACATTCTTAAAAGTTAGTTGACATATTTTTTACTATTCCGGCTGATAATTAGTTGATCTAACATATTAATCGCATTTAGTATGATAAAACAGGCAAAAAATAACAAAAAATGAGAGTAAAATTATGGCGTCAGCAAAAAAAGCAACCGCCAAAATGTATCAGGTTTAGAAAAGGCTACATTTTATGTCTCATGCTGAAACCTTTATTTCTATGTACCTTATAAATAACAAAACACCACGTAAATAAACTCACCAAAAGTATTAAAATTATTTGAATTAAGTCACAATACGCACGCTACTCTCAAATATATTAAGTGTTTAAATCTATGCACGCTACCACTCACTGTCGCGATTCGACACCAGAGAACACTATTACTTCTAGTTCGACACAGACTAAAAATTTCAACATCTGTTTCCTTTTTTTTGGCGCGGAAAGGAATAATGGTTTTTGCCTAGTTTGGTAGATAATTTAACAGGGAAGCAAGATAGTTAAATACAAATAGACCCTAGACAAACAGAGACAGGCAAATTTCAATAAAATAGAGGGCGGGGAGCAAACAAAATCCATGTCAAGTGGTAGTTGACACGGACATATGAGCGGATCCATTCCAATTCCAGTACCCTTTAGATGAATAAAATAAATCGTTCACCTCCATGCAATACATAATAATTTTGTACCACAGCTTTTACTGTATTTTTTTCTTGCGAAGATGAGCGAACGACCTCATGGCTCATATGATTTTATCATCAGCTGGAGCCCATAGACATCATGACACAAATGCCCCTTGATTGTAGGTCCTACCCATGTGCACTCGCTAGATGCACTACATAACACCCCCCAAATTACGCAAATTATAATTTTTATTGCACTGAATACAGATCCACGACACGATAAGTGCAGGACGATTTTGAAGCGATTTTGCGGAACGAGACTTGGCGAACGAGCTAACTAATGTGAACGATCTTACCCAAGTCTAAATACATTGCTGTGTGGTGTGTATTATTATTGCTTGTGACATTGTGGCTTGTGGCATTGACTAACTTGTATAAAATATTAAGTGTGTTATATATGCTACTCAGCGTTCGTTTAATTTTTAAAATCGACTTTTTGGCGGGAACGCAAGGAGTGAAGTTGTGTGATTTGTTTTATTTTGTCTATTTAGTGTTTCTTCAGATTTAAATGTGTAGTAGTGGTGGTTTATTAACTGTTTAGTATCTGTGAAAGTGCACAAATGTAGGAAAATAAAACAAAGCCGCTAGACGTAACTTCTCGGGATCCTCCAAAAAGTCCACTGAAAAATGACCACCATTTTACGGAGATTATATTTCATCCCATATGATCTCATCTCATTTCATTTCATTTCATTTCATTTCATGCCATGTTTCATATTAATCGATTTCATTTCATTTCACTTCATATTATCATTTTTCATATAAAATATATATTTAAACTAGCGACCCGCCCTCGCTTCGCTTCGGAAACATTAAATTTTATTATTGACAGGCGAGTCCCGCCATGTTACGCGCGGTAGGACAATAACTGCAGGCGACACCGCGGGGCGAAGCTAGTCTAAAAAAAGTAGCCTAAGTTACTCCTTATATCATCAGTTACCTATTAGTGAAAGTCTCATCAAAATCGGTCTCGCCGTTCCAGAGATTAGCCGGAACAAACAGACAGACAGACAGACAGAAAGATAGACAGACACACAGACAAAAATTGTAAAAAAAAATATTTTGGTGTATGTACCGTATATATATTCATATGCATGTAGTAAAAAGCAGTTATTTCAATATTACAAACAGACACTCTAATTTTATTTTTATGTATAGATATATAAAATTAGGCGTGTTGGAGTTTGTATATTAAATGTACTTTCATTCAACCATACAACCATTCAACCTTAACTTCCCTCTTGACTCACTATATAAAACCTTAACTATAATAGTCTAACTCCTTCTCGACTTCCTACATAAACTCTTCAAGTTTATTTAAAACTTTTAACGCCTTCTCAACCTCTTTACTTTAATAACCTTAAACGCCTTCTCAACCTCTTTACTTTAATAACCTTAAACGCGAAAAAAAAGCGCGGGAAACTTCGTTTATGGTAGACGTATTTTTCACGGTGGTGAAAATTTAATTTAATTTTATAGTTAAAACGCGGAGGATAAGCTGGTAGTGTAAGTTTTAGTAATATATGTAATCTTTGTATCATATTTGTGTATAGTGTCATCGTATAGTTGGTAAGTTTTTATAATTTTTGTAAATATTGTATGAACGAGCCCCCCGATCTCGATCGGGGGGATGATGGCTATGTTGGCCTGAATCTCCCCGTGGGATCATATGTAACTGTTGTTTCACAAGATGAATTTGATAAAATGGATACGGATTGTTCCTTATCATCTCAGACAGGTGAAGGAAGTCGTAAACGAACACGTTATCTACGCCTTTGTCGGCAGTGTACGAAAAGGAGAAATAAGAAAGGTGGTTCTAGCGGTGATTACTGTCAGTGCGAAAGTTTATGCAATATGGAAGATGAGTCAATTTTAATAAAAAAGATTACTTCTAAAAGTTCTAAACCTATATCTCAATCGACGTCATCTTCACACTCGCAAAATAATAATAATTCACATAAAACGTCCTCTCAACCATCAACATCTTATACGGAAAATTCAAATATCTCTCAAGACTCTAACGCGGGAAATTCAAATATCTCTCAAGACTCTAACGCGGGAAATTCAAATAACACGAAAACTACAGTAACCAATACAGACTCCCGTTGGATCGGCCGGACTGAATATGTTCTTACTGATGTTTCCCCTTATTTGATACACGTTCAACGTATACAAAGTTCACCTGATGACGGGACCGTTCTCCATCCTATAACTTTTGGCAATTTTTTAAAACAGAACAAATTTGAAAATATTATTCCCGGTAGTGTAAAACGTATAGGAAGAAATAGGTGCGTAGTTGGCTTTTCCGATTACAAAGACGCCAATAACTTTCTTAACTGCAATCTTTTGGAAACGAAAAAGTTAAAAGCCTTCATTCCGACTTTCAACGTAACAAGGATGGGGCTAGTTCGTGGGGTCCCTGTAGATTGGAGTGTAGAGGAAGTTCAACGAAATGTATCCGTTCCTTTAGGCTGCGGCAAAATACTTAAAATAAGACGTTTGAATCGCAAGGTGAAAATTAATGACTCGGTTTCTTGGAAANAACCTTAAACGCCTTCTCAACCTCTTTACTTTAATAACCTTAAACGCCTTCTCAACCTCTTTACTTTAATAACCTTAAACGCCTTCTCAACCTCTTTACTTTAATAACCTTAAACGCCTTCTCAACCTCTTTACTTTAATAACCTTAAACGCCTTCTCAACCTCTTTACTTTAATAACCTTAAACTCCTTCTCGACCTCTATAACCTTAAACTCCTTCTCGACCTCTATAACCTTTAAACTCCTTCTCGACTCTTTAACCTTTAAACTCCTTTATCTCCTTCTCGACTTATTTAACGTTAATCTCCCTCTCAACTTCTTTAACCTTAATCACCTTCAACTCCACTCACAAACCACATAACTCATAACAAATAACCTCACACAACTTCAACTCCCTTACATTATTCATACAACCTTCTATTATCCTTTATAATTTTTTCACTCTTTCTTCTTTTCTTTTTTTTTTAATTTCCTAACTTTTTTTTTTTTGCGTGTATTCGTTCCATTATTTCAATATAACATTAAAACCAAAATTCCTAATTTTTTTATAACAAAACAACAATAAAACAAAACTATAAAAGAGATTCAAAAGGATTTTAGAAAACGACTGTAAGTTTGTTTGAATCAAAATTGAGTACTTCTTCCACGGCTTAGGATAACTATTGTTTTTATATTTTTATGGTCACCCCCTTAATTGTTTGTGTCTGTTGAAAAAGAGCACCCTCTTAATTTTTGAATTATCCCTGTTTCTTTTCAGTTATATCTATTGTTGTATAATACAACATTTAAATTCCCAAAGAACTTATTAAACTAACCCATTTATCCCGAAACACAAGTTCACTTTTTTTTTTAAATTAATACACTTAAAGTCTCAAAGTTTTCCATGACCAGATTTTCATTTGTTAATCTGCTATCATTTGTTCTATTTTCATTTGTTTCTCTATTATTTCACCTTTTAACAACATCTTCTCGAACTTTACACCATTTCTACTTCATCACCCTCCATTACTATTATTTCCTCTAATATCACCTTCTCGAACTCCACTAACTCCATTTCTTCCTATTTCACCTTCTCGAACTTCACTACCTCCATGTTTTTTAGGTATGTATGGAAAGAATTAATTTATGAAGGTCAGGTTAGCGTTATTCTTTTTTGGTATTAAATTATAGACGGAGAAAAATGTGTGCAAGTGTTGAGGGGGTGTGTTGGAGTTTGTATATTAAATGTAATGGCAGGCAATACTTGACACTTGATTAGATTTCGAATATTAGAATTATTTTAAATGTTTAAAAAACAGATCATTGTACTCTTGTAAGAAAATGTCAGCACTTCTCATCTAGACACGGCAAGAGAAACATGAAATAGTTTTATAAAAAAAAATATAAAGATAATAATTGTATAATGGTGTAAAAGTGTTCAAGCAATCTGCAATATAATTATAATGAAGCAGTTGTGTTTTTAAATAAGCCCCTCATCACCTACAGAACCCAATCCCTTCAAATGGAACCATCCAACAAGGCGTTATGGTATGACATCCTTGGCTTTCCAGTTGGAAAAATAATTTTAACTACTCTATAAAGTTTTCTGACTTCTGCTTTCCTGTCATTTATATACTTTAGTTAGTTGTTGATTATTTACAATTTTTAATACCAAGTTTGTTTAATATTTTTAATTCGTCGGTCTCAATTATATTTATTTAAAATGAAATCTAAATCAGGTTTAACTCGTTTTCACAATTGTTACATTCTTCGTGATCGTAAAATTATCAAAGAAGATTTATGGATACGAGATGGAAAAATCGAAAATCCTGAACGTGTTTTTTATGTGGAACAACTTGAAGCAGACATCACAGTTGATTGCGAGGACCTACTTATTGCTCCCGGGTTCATTGACATTCAGATAAACGGTAAAAACTTAAAACTATGTCGTAAACTTATATTTACTAGAACTCTAATGTCGAAGGCGAAAATATTTTTCTTTAAAAAAATTTATAATGAGAAGTAAAATAATCAATCAATAGGCTTACAGAAGTTATAAGTTAATGAAGCTATAATTAAATGTTGTATAATAACACATATTACGAAGAAAAAATTAGTTTTTTAACTTATAACTTTGAATTTTGAAATCTAATTATTTTATTTCTTATTTATTTGCTGGTCACGAATATATTATTATGTTTGTCTATTGTATAAATAATATTAGATACACATTACAAAATTACACTACATTTTAAATATTTTTTTAGAAAATAATTAATTGCCTTCTAGCCAAGTCTTCAGTTTTGCATGAATAATGTTCAAGTCCATATCACCATAAATCTGCTGAGGTTAAGGGCAGATATTTTCCGCAAAATGCTTTTAAAGATTCATTTTATAAAGCCTCCAAAATTATTTAGTTTAACCTTTAATTTGGGATGAATACCTTAGTATTTTTTTTTTATTGCCCGTGTAGGCTGACGTGCATACGGCCCATCTGATGGTAAGTGGTTACCGTTGACTATGGACTTCAGCAATGCCAGGGGCAGAGCCAAGCTGCTGCCTACCAAAATCATTGTGTTGTTGAAAGAGTAATTTGAAGAATGTCAACAGACTTGTGATCCTGGTGTAGGTTTAAGAGGCCCCTATCAATGTGCATTACACTCATCTCCATTCTCCACATTCCTCTCCCTGCCTAGCCAAATTTAATAGGGACCTACTAGTCATTTTGATCAAGTATAAAATTCTATATGGAAGTTCTTGACAAGCCAAGGACTTTTAGTAGGTTATAAAGAGATTTTGCTGTTAACATCTCACCTCCACTATGGCAGCATATAAACTAACCACAAATTCAATTATGATTAGGTCATGTGTGAAATTATAGTTTTTGTTACTTTTTACTGTATTGTTTTAATTTTATTCTTTCTGAAGTCACAAATATTTTTATACAATTAGAGAGTACTTAGTACAATTGATGATAAATAACACCTTATCTGTGCAAAAAAAAACTAAAATAATAAACACGTGATGTCTTTTAATTATATCTATGACCCACAAAAATAAATAAATTACTTTAGTTTACATTTTTTGCAATATATAGTCATACAATTCATATTATCTGACATTTTACAAAAAAAAAACCTTAGTTACTCTTTTTTAGCCCCTGATCTCAAATTGAGTATAGCTTATATAGATGCTTAGACTATTATGTATTCCTTTATTTATGCAATTTGCAAAAGCGGATACCAAATAACATAATGTCTAAGAAATTAAATTTAGTTACATAGTTACATATATTAAACTATAAGTCAAGAATTCTTCGGAGACAATTAGGTAATTGAAACATATTTTTTCATGAGCCTGCACATAACACCATAGCTTAGTGACATTCCAACTCCAACAAATTCCAACATATCATATGAACATACTACAGCACACCTGATCACATATTCAAACTATGCACATTACACAAATAAATACTCCCTGCCATCTTATTAATTAATAGTTAGTAGCTGTGGGGTCTTTGAGATCCTTTAAGCTTAAAATTAATGTTATTATTCTTATCTGGATATATGCTATGTATGCAATTGTAGGCTTTTGACCAGATGTACCAAGGCTATGACAGTACAATGAATACAAAAAAATCAATCTTACCAGATTAACAATGCACTATGCAAAAGTCTATCTATACATTTAATCTTTAACCACTAGCTCCAAGGACAATTTTTACTAACAAAACAAAATGACAATTGACCAAATTGGAACTTATTGAAAATTACTGCTTATTAGAAGAGGCTAGATTTTTTGGTAGTTGCAAATGGTCTACTACTGAAACAAAAACAATTTCATTAATTTTCAGGTGGATGGGGTGTTGACTTCTCTAGAGATTCTGATAACATTGAAGAAGGCGTGGCTAAAGTTTCAAAGAATTTGTTAGCTCATGGAGTAACAGCATTTTGTCCTACGATGATTACATCAGATCAAGAAATTTATAGGCAAATATTACCAAGAATTAAGAAAACCCAAGGAAACAAAAATGGTGCTACAGTACTTGGAGTACATTTAGAAGGCCCATTTATAAGCCCTACCAAAAAGGGAGCTCATGTTGAGTCCTATATAAAAAATCCTCATAGGGTAAATATAATTTACATTTAACAATTACACATATAAAATCATAATATACGAATATGACATTGATCATGATCAATACTCAACTTGAGTTGCGTTAGTTCAAGTTCTATAAAAGATAATAATTTAATCTTCCGTCCTTTTAACGTCAAGCCATCATTAAGATCAAAAATATCATTCATCATAATATATGTACTTACTTAAAATAATATTTTTTGCATATATTTATTTAGTATTTCATTGGTAAAATGTATAATTACATCCACCAAACACTTGGTGTAAATTCCATACAAGGGCCTGCAGCAATTCATGTAATATCATAAACATTGAAGTCGTCGTGGCCTAAAGGATAAGACGTCCAGTGCATTCGTGTTGAGCGATGCAACGGTGTTCGAAACCAATTTTTCTTCTACGTACTTAACAAATATTCACGATTGACTTCCACGGTGAAAGAATAACATCGTGTACAAAATTATAATTTGCGTAATTACTGGTGGTAGGGCCATTTGTGAGTCCGCAGGAGTATGTACCACCACCCTGCCTATTTCTGCCGTGAAGCAGTAATGCGTTTCGGTTTGAAGGGTGGGACAGTCGTAACTATACTGAGACCTTAGAACTCATATCTCAAGGTGGATGGCGGCATTAACGTTGTAGATGTCTATGTACTTCGGTAACCACATAATACCAAGTGGGCTGTGAGCTAGCCCACACATCAAAGCAATAAAAAAAAATTAAAAAACAGGCAGTCCTTCATAAACCAATATAAACCCATAGACAACTAAATATGAAATAAATGAATAATATTGATAATTCTATTTTTTTAAACATTTACGAATTGAAATTTGTCATTCATTAGTGTAATGGAGATAGTTGTGAAATCCAAAAACACAGCATATAAAAGTACTGAAAAAATGGGTATATAAATTAATGTATAAAATGATAATTCATATCATGTTTACGCATATCTGACGTTTAAGTGTATGTTACACAAAGGCCAATAAATATCATTATCACTAACACACTTTTAATGCTATTGAACTTTTACTAGAGCTATTGAACTTATTACATTCCAGCCTATTTATTTATGAAATAATAAATAATATTATGTAAAGCTCATACATGTATTAAACATAGAAATAAATCTTTAAAGATGCCATCATTACTTGAAGAATGAGGTGCCTGTGTTATTTGTATCAAGTTATGCTATTTATACTGGTATTCAGCTTCCAAGATATTTTCCAAAGAAATGTGCACTTAACAGTTGATGATAAACGAGTTCGTTAATAATACCACTGAATAAAAATCAAAATGCCAAATAAAAAAGAACAATTTGTCCCAAAATGGACTATTCCTTTATTCAAGGACAAAAATAATATAAGTTAACATTTGGATTTTAGGGTATAGATACTATTAGAGAAGTATACGGTTCTTTGGATAATGTGGTAATAATCACACTAGCTCCAGAACTTCCAGGCTGTTTTGAAGCAATCAAGGATCTCACGAATCTTGGTATCAAAGTTGCTCTTGGACATTCCATTGCCAGTTTGGCTGAAGGCGAAAAGGCTGTCGAGTGCGGTGCTAATTTAATAACTCATCTCTTTAATGCAATGCTACCAGTAAGTCATTTAATTAAACATTATAACCTTTTTATAGATATTAATCAAACTTTTTTTATTAAAATATGTATTATCAATTTTTTTTTATAGTTCCATCATCGTGATCCAGGATTAGTAGGGTTACTAGCTTCTACGATGAAAAAACAAGTATATTATGGTATAATAGCTGATGGTATCCACACTCATCCAGCAGCGCTCAGAATAGCAAACAGAACTAATCCCGAAGGTAATCCCCTGCTTCGCTGAATAGCCAAGAGCGTGATCAATTATGCTTACGTAATGTAAGCACCCGTTATTTTCTGGTGCTTCAAAAGTAGCACGAGCGTGCGAGCTATCGGACAGGTTTTTATTTATTTATTGCATAGATGGATGGACGTGCAAACATCCCACCTGGGGTTAAGTGGTTACTAGAGCCCCATAGACATCTATAACGTAAATGCCACCACCCTTGAGATATTAATTCTAAGGTCTCAGTATAATTACAACGTCTGCCCCACCCTTCAAAACGAAACGCTAGAAAAAACTATTTACAAAAATACTTTCTTAAATATATGCGTAATAGTAATTCTTCTAGGTCCGTGGATTCTTCTTACCGCTAAAATCAGATTTTCTTGACTCACATGTAGTTTTCCATTAGAGCAACTCCATGAACCACTGTAGGGAATTTATCAACTAAGTCTATCGAAGTTGTTCTAAAACTACTTTTTACTGGTGGTAGGACCTCTTGTGAGTCCGCGCGGGTAGGTACCACCACCCTGCCTATTTCTGCCGTGAAGCAGTAATGCGTTTCGGTTTGAAGGGTGGGGCAGCCGTTGTAACTATACTTGAGACCTCATATCTCAAGGTGAGTTGCGCATTTACGTTGTATATGTCTATGGGCTCGAGTAACCACTTAACACCAGGTGGGCTGTAAGCTCGTCCACCCAACTAAGCAATAAAAAAAATAAAAAACTAATATTAATCATTTTGATGTCAGGTTTAGTACTAGTAAGTGATGCAGTGCCAGCGCAGGGACTACCGGATGGTAACCATCGCATTGGACCGCAAATCGTGACGGTAGAAGACGGTTGCGCTTACGTCACTGGAACGAAAACCCTCTGCGGAAGCACTACTGCCTTGGACTCTTGTATTGTGAAATTTAAAGACTCAATTGGTAATTTAACTTTCATTATTAATACACCGCTGATCCGACTAAGTCGCGGCCTATGAAGTATTAAGAGATCATTAGAGTTATTCTAAATTTTTTGTGAATTTGAATGAAGATTATAGTCATCTAGGGTTACGATGAGTCCCTCGGTCCGGGGATCTAGGGCGACCCGCGACTCATAACAAAGAATAGTTCAACCGGGGCGCAAAGTTATTTTAAATATTGTAGTTGTAGAATTCGTAGAACAAATTAAATCTCACGATACCAGCTTACAACGTTGTGCAATTGCGAAACAATACTACTTATAATTTACAGAGTAATTTTTAGAGATGAATCGAAACCACGTAGTCCATTGAACACGGCTGCCCCATGCTTCAAACCGAAACACATTATTGCTTTACGGCAGAAATAAGGAGAGTAGTGGTACCTACCCGTACGGACTCACAAGACGTCCTGCCGCCAGTAAATACCAAAAGTCAATGACAGGACAATATATTACGAAAATCTACGAAATTAAGAATATAAAATATGGAGTAAAAATTCACTTGTAAGTCCAACTCGCCAAACCCAAAAACCGCAACCACGTTTATATATTTTTTTCAGAATGTAGCTTGGAATATGCATTGGGAGCAGCCTCATTACATCCGGCTAAGGCTTTAGGAATTGATGACAAGAAAGGGAATTTAAACTTTGACAGTGACGCTGACTTCGTAATACTTCACCCTAAAACATTGATAGTTCAATCCACCTGGATAGCTGGAGAATGTGTATATAAATGCCAGAACTAAGACATGAACAAAACCAATATATTATATTTTAAAAATAATATCAGTACAACTGGGACGATGATAATTTTGAGAAACGTATTTCTCGACATTATACAAATAATATCATATATACGTACATTTAAGTTCTGAATAAAATTCCCAATTGTGCTGTTTCAATGTTTTCAGTGTAAAATTTCTTTTTCTCCTACCTACGCCGAAAGTTCGGTTTTCCTCCCACTGTACAGGGAAGAAAGTCTAACTTTTCCTTCCTGGGTACTGACAAGTGCGCATGCGCGTTAGTGTCTACGTCTGCTCTCACGCACCTAAAATTCTCCACCATTGTTGTGCTCGGATAATTTGCAATATTGTGTTTAGTGTAAAAGTGAAATAAACAAAAGGCAATAAAATTTAATAGTGAAGTATTAAACAAAGATGAGTTCATAAGACAGTTCTTATTTAATTAGTAGTAGTTTATTTAAACATTAGAAAACAGTTAAATTGTTTTTTTAATGAGTACGGGGGGGGCTCCCCCCTACCCCCGGCCAGGGCTTCGCCCCTGGACCCCGGCTCGGTACTCCACGAACTTTTGGCCTGGTAGGAGAAAAAATAGTATGTGCACCGCATGAGAAAAGTTGGACATCCCCTCCAGCGTTTTACACGCGGGAGGAAATGTACATACTATTAAATAATTGTTTTATCGTCGGTAGTCGGTGACTGAAATTTCTTACGAACTAAGAGGCTGGCGAAATTTCTGAAGGTTAGAAGGCTAATTTCAATTATCCCTGTAATTTGTTACCGAACGTTGGTAAATCTATTCTCTCTAATCATAACGCATTATTATTTAAAATATATGTATTCTCATAGGAAAAAATGTTTTAAAATGTAAAAAAATTGATTTTACCAATAATGATTTTTATTGCTGCGTATATATATTTACAATACAAGCAAACAGTAACCTTAAGTTGAAACGCACACGCAGTAGCGTTTAATGAAATATTAATATAATGAATAATAAATAAAAAATGAATATGCCATGTTTTAATATTTTGAAAAATAAACATTCCCATTCTACTGAGCGTTTGTACTACACGCATTTTTCACGTTACAAGTACTGTATTATCACTCGGACACTTGCAATTTCTTAATAATTAAGTGTGTAAAACTATCCTTAATTACATTAGTATGGTAGGCAACGGCTTGGCTGTGCCCCTGGCATTGCTGAAGTCCATGAGCGACGGTAACCACTCACCATCAGGTGTCTGCCTACAAGGGCAATAAAAAAATGAACATACTAGTTAGGAGGAAATGTTACATAAGTTTTTAACTTACAATATTGTGATAATCTGATATATATACATTATAAAATTGTGATAGTTAGTGATACTGAACGAGACAAGTACTACCATTAATTATATTATTAAATGTAATTTTTTTATTTACAAAAATTCTCTTTTGAAATAAATATGTATTATCGTTATATTTTGTTTTTCTGTCATTTTCCTAACATTTTTATTATATAATTTTCATGTCAGATTTCAAACTTCACTGCTATAACCTAACGGCGCCTTTAGAGGTGAATGTTGCCGCCCACCTTTAGGTTTAACTTAGATCTTTCAATTCTTTTAATAAGAGGCCTCACCTAAAACCAGAACACAGCTGCGTAGCACACCAAACTAGAAAGGAAGTAAAGGAAATTACCCGCGCTAATTTATCCGATAGAGCTTCAAAATTTATTATTGGACCTGCTTCAATCCTCTCACTCGAGATTAAGTTTGTAGTTAATACAAATTTGACATATTGAAAAATTAATATAATGGAATGAACCCCGGTCTGCATAGCTTTTAGAAAATAGATTATATTATATGAAAATTAAATAAAAACCAATGATAGTGGCATGGAAAATCTTTATTGAAGTAAATATATTTATAAAGTCAGTACAATTTAAGTTCAATAGTTTCCAAAAATATTAAAGTGCAGGTTGCTGATCACCTGGCAATGTTAAATATGATTATTTCTTAATTAAAATACAAGCTAATATTGAGAAAACTGTAATATGTGAATAATAACATGTATATACCTAAATAAAATCATGACANATAGTGGCATGGAAAATCTTTATTGAAGTAAATATATTTATAAAGTCAGTACAATTTAAGTTCAATAGTTTCCAAAAATATTAAAGTGCAGGTTGCTGATCACCTGGCAATGTTAAATATGATTATTTCTTAATTAAAATACAAGCTAATATTGAGAAAACTGTAATATGTGAATAATAACATGTATATACCTAAATAAAATCATGACAAAAATATATTTTAGGCAGGCTCTGAATTACACTGCTGTGTGTTGTTGTTCTCCTGGCCACAGTTTGCATTATATAAACTTAGAAATACTTATAAACCGCCAAAGTTACATGGATACTGCACCCAACTAAAACTAAGAGTGCACTGAGACGAATGTCTTTCTTCAAGTAACTTCAGAGGTCATTTAATTTGGTCAAAGTAAGATGTACAACCAGTTAAAAAATTTAAATAGCATTTAATTTTCGTCCACTAATAAAACTTGTAGTTTGTGTTTAAGACTACAACTAATCGGTGTAATACTCAATCGACGGCGCCTGAATTCCTTCAAAAAGCGCCGGTATGTGGACAAACCAGTTGGGCATCTTAACTTTACAATAAAATTAACACCAAATTACAAACCACGCGATGTATATTATGTATACAATATTACTAAGTGTATGTATATAATGTAAATACATTTTCATGAACAACAAAAATAATATCGTGGAATATTCAAAGAGCCAAAACATTTGAGATTAACTCTACCTTGATACCATTAACTTCTAAGATCTAGGCACAATGCAGCAGAGACTCCTGTATGGATTACATAACAATTTTCGTTGACTGTGGGGCAACATTATCCGAATGGCGCAGTCAACATCACCACACTAGGAATACTGAAGACATTATCTAAACTGCACTTTGAATCGAGTATTAACGTATTACCTACATCAAATCTATTTCTATCAGTTAAACTGGACCAGTGTGCAAAGCTTTAATTTGTGGTGATATCGAAAACTCTTAATATAAAAACCGCAGTATAGTATAATGGTTTCAGAGCCAAACTATCCTCTGTGCTGATGCTGCTGGAGCCCCGTGCAGCTTGCAAACTTTAGCAAACTGCCATAAAGGCGAACAACTACATCTAATAAAACTTCAACTTTTACAATTTATATATTCAAATATTTACGGAGGGTATTGTCTGTTAGATATAATTTCATGTTTGCAGTCCACATTTTTACTAAACACGCGGACTACTCCTAAGTTTTAAAATACTTTTAACAGAATTAAATCATTGAGCAATATATTCTTCAGAGAATATAGTAGAGATTGCTCGGCTGCACCAACTCTACAGAATAAATTCTTTTAATTCTAGGTTCGACTATCGAATACCGATGCATACACACTCCACAAAATGTCATTTTCGAGTACTGGTGATACGATATAATTAGTATAATTAAATAATAAAGGAATTATTGAAATCTTTGGATCAAAAATTATAATACGTTTTTGGAACTTGCACCTTTCACACTAAACATTACAATTTAAATTTCAAATTTGAACATAAATTGACAAAAAAAAACAATAAAGAACATTGGAACTTAAAAATATACTTAAAATCTAATTTGAAACAAAAAATAGCCATTTTACCACACACTTAAAAAAGAAGAAAAGTACAGGAGTTGCATTCTAAGTGAAATAAATTGATTCGTATGATATGTTTTGTTATCTATACTGAAAAATTTGTGGGGTAGGAATCGTCGAAATGGCCGCTTAAAATGAAAAAATTATGCTTATAGTTATAGAAATTAATTAAAAATAAGATCACTACAATACGTACCCAAGAATTGTATATTAAAATATTTGTACTTTTACTGACTAAAGGAAAAAACATTGGCAACTGCTAATAATCCTATAATTGTAAAAAAAATAACTTGTATAATGTAGACTGAAAACGGTTATCTCAAATTCGTTCACTCTAAGACGTGGAATGCAATTAGAATTCTTTAACAATATTAAAAGGTATAATAATATATTAAATTTTAATCAGCTCAACAATGTATAATATAATCTATAATAATTTAAAAGCCTAGATCCAAACTGTGATATTATTGCACAAGCACACATGTGGCTTTAAATTCCAATGGGAATAGAGCTCACAACCTTTTTATTCTTATTTTTGTTGTTTCGGAACAGTGGAGACTAAAAATAAGAAGTATTAATAACAAAAAAAACTTTGAGCACATTGTCACAAGGACACTTACAATTTAATGGAATAATCAATTAATAAAATGTTGAAATTCACCCACAGTCAATATTAAGTGTTAATTAATAATTGCGAATAATAATATGAATGCCAGAAATAATAAGTACTCCACTTGAACCCAACATCCTGTGCTTGGTGCCACTAATAGGCAAAACGCCCACCTCCAATAGGGAGAGTTAACATTAGAGCTCACCTTGTGCGCTGCGAACCCTACAAATATCACAATACTTGGCATCAAGATTGTGAACTGCCTGAATGTATTCCAACAACTCCCCCTCTTCAATTTCCTAACAATTCACAAAACGAGCTCTAACATACAGGGAATTCACAAGCGCTAATACCACGTAATGTGACACTACACAACTACAGAAGTAATTTATTGCTGGATACATAGGAAATATAGATTCAAGAGAAATATATATTTACCAAAATTGCTTTTAAAGTGTATATAGGTAACTTTTACGATCCCCGAAAAAGGCTACAGTAATGTACTCTAATGATACAATTATTATCGAATAATGTCGATGGACAAAATACCTTCTGATCTGCTGTTAATCCACCACCACACCGCGACAAGGGCTACGGCAAATTAAACAGCCAAGCAGACGTGACGAATACGCGCCACGATCCGCACCAACCGCTAATAAACATCTCTAAACAACATCACCATACAGGCAAACTTGTGATACTGTTATTTGTGTGTATATATATTGTAATAATATCAATTGAAAAAGACTAATTTCTACAAAACCTTCTATGCTGATCTCTAGATAAGATGTATGGCAAGAACAGAGGATTTTTTTTCGATGAATATACCACCAAAATAAATATAAGAGATATAATATAGTACAGAAGAATAATACTTTCAATTATAATATATAATTACGAATGTCATTGCAATTTCAATAAATAATAATATGAGTAGATAATTTATTGACATTTTCAAATTTTAATATTGGAAATGACACAAAATAGTATAATTTGTAAAATTATCCAAAACTTATCACACCACTTTTTATTTTATGCAATTCTAAAGCATCAATATTAATAGCGTTAGACGCTCCCTTTGGGGCAATAATAAGTTCTATTTCGGTTAATTTCACTTCACTAACACTCAATAATTTTGATCAATGACAACGAATAAAATTGAACATCATAATATTAAAACCCTGAATATTAAAACAAAAATTGGCAACAATTATTAACTAATTTTATACATATCATATAGTAAAATAATAATTACTATGTGCATGCACAAATATCGTAAGAAAATAATTTGGCAGTAAAATTCGTAAATCTAAAGGCCTTAAACACACTGGCCAAATACTATTAATACAATAGGCCCCGAAATATAATAAAACAAAACAATAAAACGATGAGAGTATTAATCACACGTGCTCTGCTCCGAACAGCGTGTAAGACTCATTTATACCTAGCTAAAATAAACAAAATAAAATTCCCTAATACTATGGGGACAAAAATCCTGAAACAAATAACTTAAAAACAATATGAAAAATAAACCCAAAAGTTACTCACTAATCAATAAAGGATTCAGACTCAAAAGTCAAATTGAACTTATCACTGGCATCCCTCAGGCCATTATAGCAACAAATACACTCGTGTCTTTAAAAATATCGAGTCATGCAAGTCTTAGATTGTTGGATAATATAATGTCTCTCTATTATTGCTCATATCACATTAAATTTCGCATATCGAATAATGTAAAACTGTTCCAATACACAACAAATACATAAAGTAAACACCTATTGCTAATTAAGTACAAACATTAGTGTATATAATAATGTTTTAATATAGATAATTTTTATCTTTAATAAGTAAATGACTCAGCAAATATACGAGGTGAAATTGCTTTTATTTATTATATAATATATTTATTTAAGTGTAATATTTTTAATTTATATTGCTTTACATGCACCACACAACTTACATCAATTTTTCAAAATATAAATGAAATTGAATCCCAAAAATAGAGAGCAACACATTTTAAACCAAATTTTAAATAAAATATCACACTAAAAGGTGGATGTTATTAAGTACCGATTCGTTTTAGAATATTAATATTGACAACACAAATGTAATAGCCATACTACATAGAAACCATACTACAATATTAGTCGCAGTTACCACTGCTTAATGAAATGGTGAGTCAAAAATTGGAACTGCCAAATCAAAAACAAATGGTGCAATTGTAGTTGCTATTCATATTATAAGTGCAAAATAATGGGTCATTACATTTGGTAAATTACAATTCAAACATCTTTACTAAAAGGGCTTACTTAGTCCCATTACTCAATATAAAACAATTTACTGTATTGGACAAAATCTAACTTCCTAAGATCTAAAGAGTTTATAAACTGCAAAATTGGTTATTATTAAGAACAATACTACCATTATTATTATTTTAAGAAGGTAGACTCTAATTTTAGTATGCTGCATACCAATAACATACCATTTGTATATTATGAAGGAGCATTATTGATTAACTTGAAATGATTTTATGGGTTTCATTGTTATCAATCGTGTTAACGTAGTAAGCGTGTACATGTGTTAATAGTGTAATAGGTAGTTTTTAAGCGAAAGACTAAAATAACTATTAAACATACACTATTAGCTATAATTTATATGGCGGTCAAAAAAGCTAAAACGGTCAAATAATTATATAAAAAATTAAAATTCACTGTTTTCAATGTATAATATTGATGTATATATATTTATTTATTTTTAATTTATTGAGATTGCTTTATATCTATGCATTGCTTCTTGAATCAATTCACATTAGTTTCATAAAATTTTAAGTTTTCTCAACAATTATTACTATTAACCAATACATGTGAATTTTTAAATGTTTTCTCAATTTCTTTCAAATACGTAAATAGTTTGCTCTCAAAATAAGAGTACGTGAAAACACTTTGTATAGACACAAGAATTCTGTAAATGGTAAATATATTATGTTCAACGGACAATATATAATATTGTATACGAGATTAACCTAAACTAGATGGCACGTTAGTTTAGTGTCGTCCCCTCGGTCATAATATTATACAATTTTCAATTTTTTTCAAACTCAATTGTGCGTAATATTTGTTCAAGCAAACACTAATCTCACTAATAATTTTAGTATCCTTTAAAACGTACGTATATTGTTTCTAATAAAATATCTTTTTCGTATATATTAATTTTCGGGACGACACTCACGCAATCCCCTAATTGACATTTTTTTTATCTTCACTCNCCCTCGGTCATAATATTATACAATTTTCAATTTTTTTCAAACTCAATTGTGCGTAATATTTGTTCAAGCAAACACTAATCTCACTAATAATTTTAGTATCCTTTAAAACGTACGTATATTGTTTCTAATAAAATATCTTTTTCGTATATATTAATTTTCGGGACGACACTCACGCAATCCCCTAATTGACATTTTTTTTATCTTCACTCGAACTAGGAACCATACCAGCTGCTAAATTTAGAAACGAAATATAGCCCTGCCGATGGGAACTCGTTACGTTAAATTTGGTTATGGTATTAAAAGTTTCACAGGGGTCTTATTAACTCAACATTAAATTCACCTAGATCTAAATATTTGAAGTCTTCACTTTTTGTGATGATGGCGAAAGAAATATTATATTGCGACTTCAATCCTAGTTCAGATTCAATGATGATGAAAACAGACCTTCCATGACCAAATATAACTAAACTTGAAAAAAATCGACTTATTTAAAAATATATAATATTATACTAACCTTTGGATTTCTGTTACTATAACTAAATGCAATCATAAAATAATATTAGGACTTGAATCAACCCAAACACGCACGAAAACATTACTTTGGAAATATATGACTTGTCTCCACAGCAGTGAAAGAAACATCGAAAATTAATACATTGCGAAAACTGTAATAATTACATTATCGAAACATCTTTTTCGTACTCGTTCACTGCATGTGGTCAGTGTTAAATGATACTAACATGAAATTTAACATAAAATAACAAAGTAGTCAAATACTGGTTTAGCAAAAAAATTGAAGCTTTGTAAAACAGCAATTATTATAAAATATAGGGAATAAATGTGAGATCTTGTAGTATGCAGACTTACAGCCAACGACTTTCTCCTCAAACAATGTAAAGGGTGTTGAGGACCAGAACGTGATGATTATTCTTAGCCAGAGTAACAATGTATCCTTCAGAAGTTATTTTCAAACCGCAGCAACGCGAAACCTTCGAACAAAAACAGAGGTCTCTTTAGTGCATATTTTAGAATACACTTACACGCTAAATATGTTTGGAAACGAAAGTTTTTTTTCATTTCCTTATTTATTAAGTGCTATTTCCAACTTAATAATAATTAACATGTAAGACATCTTATATTATTTACTAGCTGACCCGGCACACTTCGTAGTGCTTCAATCAAGAAATAATAAAAGAGCAAAAAAATTGAATAAAATAAACATAAAACAAACAAAAGGAATCCGTCCGACGGGGGACACATCAAAGGAAAAACAAAATTGTTATTTTTATTTCACACCGAGAATTTTCATATTTTTCTACCTTTTAAACCTTCTCTGGACTTCCACAAATAATTCAAAACCAAAATTAGCCAAATCGGTCCAGCCGTTCTCGAGGTTTAGCGAGACTAACGAACAGCAATTTGTTTTTATATATATAGATTACCTTTACATAAGGGCATTCAAATTCAGTGACGAGCACGCCAACACGAGAAAATACAGCAACGTGGAACTTATTGCCGTGCGAGTCTCCGATCAGTACATCTCCCGCGTCCGAAACGTCGATGCCGTTCGGGAAATTGGTCACGTTCTCGCAGCCGATACGACGTAGGAAACGGCCATCTTCGTCGAATACAACAACGCAGTGACCTTTGAAATCGCAGACGTAAAATTCCTTGCCTAGAACAGATTGCATCAACATGTATATATTTTAACATACATATTATATCACCACTCACTGGTGGTAGGAAATCTTGTGAGTCCGCACGGGTAGGTACCAACACCCCGCCTATTTCCACCGTGAAGTAATAATGCGTTTCGGTTTGAAGGGTGGGATAGCCGTTGTAACTATACTGAGACCTTAGTACTTATATATCAAGGTGGGTGGCGCATTTACGTTGTAGATGTCTATGAGCTCCAGTAACCACTTACCACTAGGTAAGCTGTGAGTTCGTCCATCCATTTAAGCAATGAAAAAAAAAACTGTATTCAAGTTATCATGTTTTGTGTTGATGAGGTCACAGTTTAAGTTACTTTACTACACAACTATGTTAAAATGTTAAATGTCATTCTATTAAAACCGGGACAGAGAACTGTTTAGCGGCACAAATAGGCCGGCTGGTGACGACCTACCTACCTATGGATGCTTTTAATACGCACCAAACCCAATGATAATTTAAGAATATCATTACCACAGATGATCAATGTAAAACTCTAATGGAAACTTTATAATGCCAAGATGGCAAATCCACATCTCATCAGATTATTTTGACCAGAAACAAAATATTCATAGGCATTTTGTTGCCTATATTGATATGCTATTATTTGTATAACAAATATCTTCTTATATAATATGAAATGCACATTGTCTTGTCTGTTCATATATTCATGTACCTAAATGATAACAAATAATTGTTTTAAATAAATGTTTACAAACATACCACTGATGGCAATATCAGATGGTTCTCGCATGCACTCACTGCAATCAAACCAACTCATGAGTTCACCCTCTTCAGAAAGTATAAATACAGTTGGTGTGACACTGTCAACCGCGACAATCAATCCCTCAGCAGTAACAGCCAAACCAGCGACGATATCAATGAACCGCACCTATACAAAATCAATAGATGAAATCATACCAAACTATCTATCGATCTTAATTTTTGTACTCGCATAATTATTAAGACATACCGCTATTTTCTTCAGAAAATGTCCATTTTTGGTGAAAATTTGCATTCGTGATCTTTCATTACCGCGATCGCACACAACGAATTTTCCAGTAGCGCGAACAACTGCTACTTTTCGGGGATACCATAATTGACCCTCTTCCTTGCCCGCATTGCCAAAGTTAAACTTGTGAGTGCCCGACTTATCGAAGACCTAAAAAGAAAAAAAGATTTGAATTTATTAAAAAGCCTTAGGAATTTATGTCATTGTTCCTTGTATTAGAGCTGATTGCAGATATACTAATTTAAACATTAGGAAGCTTTTATTTGCTTTCTTTGACAACTTGAAATGCATACAATGATTTCTATACAGCAACGTAATATACCGTAAACTACACATAACAGAATCATTTTGTCAAGTAGGTATAACCGTAAGTGCGTAGATGTTTATCTATATATATAAAAATGAATTGCTGTTCGTTAGTCTCGCTAAAACTCGAGAACGGCTGGACCGATTTGGCTAATTTTGGTCTTGAATTATTTGTGGAAGTCCAGGGAAGGTTTAAAGGGTAGATAAATATGAAAATTCGGATTCCTTTTGTTTGTTTAAAGTTTATGTTATACAAAAGTTTCGGTATTTTATTTATCGATTGAGGCACTGCGAAGCCTGCCGGGTCAGCTAGTTTAAGATATATTTTTTCTGTTTTTATGGAGTTACCAAAGCTCATAAACAACTGTATAACATTAACGACCATCCTACGCATTAAGACGATACACATGACTTCTCTATGGTTTAGATAAAATCTACAATTAACAGTTATACTGTTCTCATAAATATGAAATTTTCTAAATTATTTCAGTGCATCGTTTAGTGGTTCATGAGGCAAAGATACCCGTGTCTGTACAAAATAATAAATAATAGTTAAACTAACTATGTTTTTATTTATAAAATTAGAACACGCTCTCCCAATTTCATAAAATACTATTAACAAAACAAAAAAAATGAATTATTTTCTTACTGTTATGCGGTGATTGTTAGTGTCGGCAACAATAATATCTTCATCGTTTCCGAGACAGAAGCCATGAGGTGAATTAAATTGTCCTTTGCCACCTCCGAGTTGTCCAAATTTAAATCTGATATGCATAGGTGTAGCTTTGGTAGCACGAACTAGGGGTGCCGGGGGCGCTACAAGTGCAGCTTCCTCAGCAGGTGTGAGCAGTGGTCTTCCCGGCGATACCCCTCGAGGACCCACTCCACCCATTCCACCGACCCCACCGACTCCGCCTACACCCCCGAAGCCATTAACTTCTAAAACAATTAACGCCAAATATACCATTTGCTGAACACATTTAATATTTACATTAAAAATACTTACCAGTGTTCAAACCCAGTTTAGCAAGAGCTTGAAGATTGTTATATGCTTGAGAAGAGTTCAGATCGCCAGCTAATAACTCGGCCAATGTAAAAGAAGGAGCAGGTGATGTGTGCTGAGGGGGTGGTACGTCTTTTTCAGCTATACTCGCCAACTGTTGCAAATTGTACTCAACCATAGAAGTGAGAGGAGGAACACCACCAACGCCTGCAACGTTATTGAGATTAACGCCTCCAGGAATGACGCTCGTGTTAGTGACACCCACTCCAGGCACTGGTCCCACGCCCATGCCGCCCACTCCAACTCCGGGAACGCCAACCATGCTACCGACGCCAGACACTCCAGTCACGCGTCGGACGCCAATGGGAGGGAAATCATCGAAAACGGGCGCGTTCGTTACAGATACAGCAGGTGAATGTGAATTTGACGGTATGGATGCAATGGCAGAAGATTCGCTGGCACGTTTTCTTTCTTCAGCTATAGTTGCTTCGGTACGGAATGTGCCAAAAGTGTCATTGACATTCGCATCAAAGCTATCCATTTTGCTAATGAACTCCACTGAATAATTAACATCAAACTCAGGTGCGCCTTCCAATAATCGTGCAAATTGACTGGTTACCGTTTTTTTCAACATAACAATTTCAGTGCCATCTCCACAATGCAAAAGTCTGGCTGTGAATTTACATGCACAATCAATTCGTTGCACAGTTTTGTCTACACGATCAAAGAGATCCATTACTTTCAACTCTCTTTCTTTGTGTAGACGTTCAAGCTCTTCGAGAGCTTTATCTCTTCTTCTTTCAAGAGCTGTTTGATAAGCACGGAAAGCCTCGTTGATAACACTCTCGGCATCATCACGCTGACGTTGCAAGTCCCCTAATGCATCATCAAGTTTAGCAGATGCACTACCAGCTGTGGCAGCGCGAGTGTTAGCTTCTACGATGAAATTTCTTAATTCTGCGCGAATATTTTGTTCCGCGTCGACAATACGTTCGCAGCGATGTTCTCCCACTTTATGGTCCACTGTTAAACATTCAGTGCAAGCACCTACTTCACACTCACAGCAATAAAATTTAAGACTTTCTCCAGCATGTCGGGTACAGAAAATAGGCTTGTGAACAGCCGTTTTCTCCTTAGAAGATCTTAGGGCATCAAATGGCACAACACGATGGTTTTCAAAGCATCTCATAAATTCATGGGCAGAATTACAATTCGAGCAGAGAAAATGCGAACAATCAGTACACCTGGCAACTGCTGGTTCCTTACTCTTGCAACAAGTACAGACGACCGATTGATCCATGGTAGAAACATCCAATATGTTTGTGAGGACATAGTCTGAAGGAAGTGAAGCAGCTCCACCACCCAACATCTGATCAAAAATTAGTGTTATTAAACAATATACCAACTTGATTCAAAACCACAAACAATATGTCAAGAAACATAAAAACCTTTGTTTCCTGTTTACATATTGGACATTCTACAGCCAAATCAAATTTAAGTGAATCACCAGCTTCATTAACCATCAACTTGTCAATGCAGGCTTCACAGAATACATGAAGGCAAGACAATACACGTGGACTGCACAACTTATTGCTGCAAAAACATACAAAATTCTTGGTTAATTAATTACATTGCTAATTTATTTTGTCAAGCAACTGTAGTATACAAATATAATGTTCTCAAAATATGAGGGCCTAAAGTTGTACAAACAAAAGACATTACTCTTTTTCAGGTTTAAAAAAATCAGTAACATTTATGGGTTTCTTAACATGTTACTGTTAAACAGAAACCTTGTAAGTGGATAATCATAAAATTTATTTTTTTTGCTTTATTTGAGGGTAGTTGTTGATCTGTTACTGTGAAATTTATTTATATAATTTCATAATAAACAGTATCATGTCAAATCTCATTAAATCTGAAATTGACTTATAGTACTGACTAGCCAGATACAGACTTGAATTTAAATACTGAAGATTACCTAGTGGGATCAATTAAAAAGAGGTATCACAGACAGTAAAATTCCCAAAAAAAATAATTCCAAAGTAACTTATTTTGTTTTGCTAAATTAATTAATTAATGAATGTAATTTTATCACCAGCAGGATAAGCAAATTGACTTTTGACATTAATTCTGTTACAAGTTTTTAAATTAAGGACTGTAGTTTTGTTATTAATGTTATAGTTAGTATCTAGTCATTCACTTTGACCCCAAATGACGTCTAATATAATGGAAGTTTCAATCAGTTTTGAAGTTTACATAAAATAGCAGGGATCTGCCTTTGTGCTCGCATCACACAAAATGATAGTTTTCGAACTTTTTGTCAAATCACAAATCAGTAATTTAGTATTCGATTTATTTATTGTACTGTGTGGGCGAGACCGCACAAAAATCAACTATATGATATAACAGGAGAGGGTATGCAGGTAGGGGGGTCACTGGAGTCATGAAAAACAAAAATCCGAATTAGTGATCTAAAACTTATGTTTTGGACACTGGCAACTTGGTTATCATCTTTCTTATTTTTGAATCAAATTTAGATGAATTAAGAAATTACATAGTTTTTTTTTTATTACTGTCACTAATATCCTCTTTGCTTTCTTGATGATTTTACTAGACAACTATTCGTGGCCTTAATCTCAATGTGATCAAGGGCCAATTAGGCTTTGGTGTGATTAATGTAAGCTCCCACTACGGTAGCAAGGTGATGAGTTTCGCGAAAAGCATATCTCTCCCTGCAACCCTACTTTGTTGACAGAGACACCGCAGTCGCCGGCGCCAAGACGACCGATATTTTTGATCGGTGAGCTAAATATCCGAATCCAGTTTAGAAAATGTCGCCAGCTACTATTCTCGAGAACTGATGGATCAGAACCAGCGTGGAAGCAGAAATTGCGTTAAATAATCATACAGCTTAATACCCTGGCTAGGTGAGGCATATACTTGTCATCATAAACGGTCATCATAAGCTTGTAAAGTTATTAAATATTTTTGGTAGGTGGTAGATGGATGGACGAGCTCACAGCCCACCTGGTGTTAAGTGGTAACTGGAGCCCATAGACATCTACGACGTAAATGCGGCACCCACCTTGCACCTATCTAAGCAACAAAAAAAAAAAGATATAGAAGAAAAGAAGATATAGAAAGAAGTTCTAAGGTCTCAGTATAGTTACAATGGCTGCCCCACCCTTCAAACCGAAACGCATTACTGCTTCACGACAGAAAATAGACAGGGTGGTACCTACCCGTGCGGACTAACAAGAGGTCCTACCACCAGTAATACTAGGAGCATGTTATTTGGTTGTCGCTACTCATAAGAGACATCAAAACCTGAATTTAGCCATTCACCTTGAAAATGAAATCGAAGTTTTTATTGTATTGTATGCAGGCTTTCCCACCCTTACGCTCAAAAAAGATATGACTGCTTCGCGGTAAAACTAGTTTTTGGTCCATCTTTTTTTCATTCCGTGGTAATCTTGACTTTGTTTGTTGTTAGTTTTTTTCATTTTTTTTGGTGATAAACGGTTTTGATACAGTATCTTTATTTATTTTCATTTGATTTAAAAATAAGAATACATTTAAAAAAAAATCCCAAATTCTGGTTTCTGAGGTTTTAAAAAAATATAGACACAAAAATACTTACTCGCAAATTTTGCAATCCTGCTCATGTTTACCGTTATCATTGGATTCCAAAGAGCCCTCATCTCCAAGACTAACTAAACCATCACCATAAAGCTCCCCGTTCATTTCCTCCATTTCTACTATGAGAATGGATCAGGATTTGGTTTTTTCTTCAGTTTACAACAACCTGAAATAATAATTCATATCATGTTGAGTGTTGTAATATTGATTTTGTTTTAAATTTGTTATTTTTATAATACAACTGCTTTTTTTTACGACCTATTTTGGTAACCTCAAGGGGTTATGCCAACTTCACATAGCGAGTACATGNTTCATTTCCTCCATTTCTACTATGAGAATGGATCAGGATTTGGTTTTTTCTTCAGTTTACAACAACCTGAAATAATAATTCATATCATGTTGAGTGTTGTAATATTGATTTTGTTTTAAATTTGTTATTTTTATAATACAACTGCTTTTTTTTACGACCTATTTTGGTAACCTCAAGGGGTTATGCCAACTTCACATAGCGAGTACATGAGCTCACGGGGTTCTAACCTGACGAATTTACTATCTAGTCCTAGCGAGAGCAGTGCTTCGTAGAATCTACCACCAAATCGAAAACGCGACCCACTGAGAAGATCCGGCGACAAACTCAGTGGGCTGTGTGTGTCTGAGGGTTAATTTGTTGCCCAAGCCCTTCGTCGCAAGCGACGGGTTCGCCGAGAACGATGACCAGTGCTTGGGGTACCTAAAAACACCGATAATGGATTAGGAGGATCCGAAATGACGTGTGCATAACTGCATAATCATGAAGTTGTGACTAATAACTATCACTACAGACCAAGTTTCTTCTATTTTTTTATGCATTAACCAGTGAACGAACTCTCACCCCATCTAGTGTTAAATGATACTGGAGCCCATAGAAATCACTACATAAATTATAAAACATTCTTAATCATATGTTTTATCCAAAAACTTACGAAAAGGACTAAATGCATTCTCAAACATAATTTCTGAGTGAAAGTATTTATAAAATTATATAAAGAGCAAGGTACAATTTGAAAATGAGTTTTATTCTTTATTATTTTATTATTAATATTAGTGAGTATCGAAGATGTCTTTGATAACAATTAAAAAAAAACCGTGGAAATGTAGTAGCAACGCCCATTGCTACTTTCAAGTTTACTTCGCTTCTGTGTTCCGTCTAACACATAAAATAAAATTTTGAAAGCATGAAGGAAAATTTTTAATGAAGAGCAACATCTCAATTTTTAAGTCTATGAAAATATCACTTTTAAACTAGAGATTTTTTAGGATTTTGTTGAGAGTACATGCTCTATGTGCTTAGTGCGAGTTTTTTAAAGTTCTCAATATTGTAAAAGTTAACTCAAATTTGTATGCCGTTGAAACAGCACTCCAAATAGCAAACATAGGCAAACTCCATACAAATTTGAGTTAACTTTTACGCTATAAAAAACATAAAAAAACTCACACTAAGCCCAGTGATGTCAAATCCCTTATTGTTTGTGCCTTTAGAGGATGCCTTTCCTTTTATTTGAAAAAAAAAAAAGAAATTGCATTTATTCTATTTGCGATTTCTTTTAATTGCATTTCATTAAAATCAAGTCATTCCTTTGTAAGGGGATGTACTTTACACTTGACCGCTAGTTCCACTTCTAAGGAATTAAAAAATATATAATTATTCTATTTGGCACTTGTAATGAGCGCAATTATTCTCTTTGAGAGGAAGATTAGGGTCTCTGTTGGGTATTTTGGTACTTCCTAAAACTACTTTGAATTAGAAACCAACATTAGGAACTTCATGCCCTATGGAAACATCCACGGTGTGGTAGAAATGTGGTGCCTGGACCACTGCCACTATCATAACCAGACAGATTCCAACCGAATTCCCTTTGAAATTCTAAACATTAAATTATATGGTTGTGTTCAAAACTCATACATATTCTGTAAGGCATGTGCAGACTTGAATTCTACTTTATGCAAAGAAAGTTGCTATAATGTGAAGAAATAGTCAAAATGCCAGAAAAAGATTCCCAACAGAATCCTTTATTACTCAGGATCTCAAGTAGATAACTCATAAACTAGCTGTAAATAAAATAAAATTTACAAGAAATACTACTTGGTTCTTCTTTTATAAAATATCTACAGGTAAGAACTAGGTTGTATCACACTGGATAGGAAGTGAAGAGCTTGTTGACAGTATAGTATATGCTAATATGTTCAATATGTTCGGATAGTCTCAACCAATGAGGATGTTGACATTTTTCTGACCTTTATATTATCCAAAAATCTAAAGTGAGATTGCAAATAATATTTTATATCATGGTGGTCATTTTAGAGAGATTATGAAATGGTAACAGTAGCCACCTTTTTACCCAATTTAAAAATAATAATTGACACATGATTTTACTATTATCATAATTTTAATATTATTTTCATAAAAAGGTATAAAGTAATTAATGGCATTCACTGTTTAATATAAAATGCATAACAAAACACAGTCATAAGCATCATTCATTGTTGCATCATAAAAGGTATGCTTATATTACTAGCACATGACAGAATCCTCAAGTTGTATTCACTATGCTTGATATAGGACATAAAGTGGTGGCTCTTCAAACTACTAAAGCTACTGACCCATTATTATCAATAATAGTATAAGCAGTTTATTATGTAACCCTTAATTTCATTCTTTGTTCATTATTGATCCTACTACACATGTATGATTTAAAAGTAGCAAATCCTTTACTAGTGCAACACAAATTTATTATTTTTAGGTAAGCTTGTTGAGGTTTTTTAACAACTATGTACCACTATAAACTTTAAGAATCTGTGGAAAGTACTGAGGTGATTTTATAGAATTTAAAACTCCACTCAACCATAAACTTATTTTCTATTTTTTTTGTTATATCTACAAGACCAATAATAATTATTTTTTGACTCAGCCACAATAGAAACAGACAAAACAGTACAATATAAAAATTAAGTATCAATCTCTAATCTTAAGGAGGCTAAAGGGTTAGCAGTTTTGAACTATTGGATATTAAACTTGAAATTATTGTAATAAGGTTAGAATTTAAATGCGAATTAAATTTGTTTATCATTTTTATTTAAAACCTTATTAAAAAGGTAATTCTCTTTTTTATGTTTGCTTTTAACTTTTTGAAATTACCAAATTACTAAATTATTACAACTAAAGTATTAATTTTCCTAATTTAGTAATATAGTTATTTTCCACTTCCAAATCAATATTCTAAAATATCTTAATTGACTATGATTGGAGGTTGATCAAATTACTGCATTATTACAGATACATAGCTATATATAATCAGTTTTCAAGGCAACATGAAACTAAATTAAAATTCAAACAGTAAAACCTCTTACAGAAACCCAAAATATATAACATTCAAATTGTACTTACGTATGTTACATACCTACTTTAATTTTATAACAAACGCAATGCACCATGCAGACAATGGCGAAGGTCGATAGTTCATTTACACCCGATTATTTTAATAAAGCCACAAATGTATAATGAGTATGCGGAAAAAATAAATTAGATTAAAATGAGCGTAATTACTAACCTTTAACAGCTTATAATTTGCAGCAAATCTGATAAATACACGCGCAAGTTGTTTTACCACGCCGTAACTATGAGAATACTCATCACTTTGTAAATAAATAAAAAATGAGCATCAAATCCCAACAGATATTTTTTCAAACAAAAATGGTTTCTTCGGTGAATTAAATAATGTTTTGTCACGTTCTCATTTTAAAAAGAGGAATACATCTCGGTTTATTGATTTTCTGCGTAGCGGTTGCGCTGTTTTAACAATGTTGCCAATTATCAAAGAGAATCAAACATTCGAAGAGAATGTTTTTGGTTTTGGCGAATACGGAATATTTGAACTTTGAAATAGGAACAGTACATAAATGGAGCATTATAGTTTAGCTTTAAGGTCAATTGAAAAATTAAGTGATTTTTAACAAATCTGAAATTTTAAAGCAAATGGAAAACTTTCCCATGAAATAATTTTACTCGATCTCTACAATGATTAATGTTTCTGATTTATTAACGACTGCCGTATTTATCTTCCAAGTACAATAAAAAAATATTATATTGAAATAAACGAAATAAGGTAATCCAATAAAAAGCTTATAATAATATAAATTCAAAATTGTTTGAGATGATTCCATTAGCTCGTTTTTACCATCGCACCGCCTGCCACCGGAGTAGAGTTCATCAATACTACCTGGAGCCGCTGCGTTCATCTACAGCGAGTTTCCAAAGATCTGTTTTGGCACGTACCATCTGGTTTTGGAATGAGCTCCTCTCCACAACGTTTCCCGAGCGCTATGACATGTCCTTCTTCAAACGGAGCTTATGGAAAGTACTTAACGGGAGGCAGCGTCTCTGCCCCTGGAATTGCTGAAGTTCATTAGCGACGGTAACCACTCACCATCAGGTGGGCCGTATGCTCGTCTGCCAACAAGGGCAATAAAAAATAAAATCCTCGGATATTGCTGATAATGCGGCAATAAAAAAAGTCGCAACTGTTTCTTGACTATTTGGACTCTTTCGGGAGCGCTCGGACAGTGGTAAACAAACCCTCTCCTCTTGCCCGATGCCTTGAGAGCAATTCGTAATATTCACATGCAAGGTAATGGTACGTCCTATTTTTATGCGATGCGGATCTTATCCGCAGTATATACAGGGTATGGTTATTTTATGCATAAAATAACAAATCGTAGAAAATTAATTGCAAAAAAAAAGACCCGAAAAGTCTTCTAATTTAAAAAAAAAAATTTTTAAGTGGACCAGGGCGTAAATTTTCGAAATATTAGAAAAAAAATCATAACTCGAAAATCGCGGAACATACATGGGGGTGATTCGGATACCCTACGACACAAGAGACCTACATTTTTTTTTGGACCTCAATTATCCGGCCACCCTGTATATTTAAAACAGCATATTTTTTGTATTCTTGTAGTTTTTTTTACATTTTAATTTAGGTGATATTTTTTATGGTGGAAGTAATTGTGGGAATTCTTTTTTATTTTTTATTTACCGTTCCTTCTAGTGTATGTAAATGAGTAGCAAGGGTTACTTATTAAACGTAGGAAAAATATTAAAATTCTTCCAAAAAGCCCGCTAAAATGGCAATAAAATTTCCACCATTGTACTGAGGCATTATTACATCTGATCTCGTCTTCTCATCTGATATTCAATTTTGCTTAATAACCTTTATAAATTACAGGTTATGTGTGCATCTAGCAACAGTGGCATTGCAAGAAACCAATTGCCTTTTTGGCGGGAACCGTAGGAGCAAAGCTTTGTGAATTATTTTATTTTATTGAAGTTTTTTTCAGATTTAAATGTATTAAAATGATGGTTTATTAACTGTTTATCAAAAACAAAGTTATTAAAATCAACTTCGTCTCATTTTACAACATATCATATCATTATCAGAATACAGTAGAAATTATGTTCAAGCTAGGTTTTAAGATCTTGTGACCGTTAGCCATAAGTAAATTCTAACGAAAGAAGCAGGCTATCATACCTACTGAAAAAAGAACATTAATCCAAAGTCAATGCTCGGTCTACTGTTAAGTGTATAATCTATGGCGCGTATTGTCAGTGTACTACCTAGGTACATACCTAGGTACCTATTCAATTGCGAATATTTCTTTGAATATTTTTTGGCCTGATAATAAGACCTTTGAGCCAAAGCAATTATGATGCTATTCTCAAATATCAAGGTTACAATGTGATCCGGATTTAAAAGAAATCGATATTTTTTTTCAATTTTATCTTTTTAATTATGTAGTATTAAGCACTAATTTTGTTTTGTGGTCAAATTGAAAAATACTAAATTTCTCTAATCATATTAGAAGTAATCACAAACCAATAATGATAATTCAAAATTTTATATTGAGGATTTTTGGAGATGATCATGGATATCTTTTTAACTATATCACTACCAGCCACCGAAACAAATGCTATTCTTCCTATGTGTAATCACTGTATGTGGTTGCTAATGGAAGTTATCCATGGAAGTCAGCAATGCCAGGCGCAGCGCCAAATCGCTGCCTACCATTTTTTTACCACCAAGTGAATTCGTCTGACTTCTATAACAAGAAATTTCAGAAATCGTCATTGTTCATAAAGAAATCTCCTACTCCTGATTTTTGTTGTAGTCGCCATTAGTAAATTTTATCTCATCGACATCCTTCTGGTGCAGGAGACCTTCCTAAAGCCCTCGCGTCGCGACCCCAAAGTCGCGAATTACGTCATGGTTAGGAATGACAGACTCTCCACCCGCAAGGGCGGGACTGTCATTTACTATAGGAGGGCCCTGCACTGCGTCCCTCTCGATACTCCCTCGCTCTTACATATCGAGGCGTCAGTGTGCCGCATCGCGCTGACGGGACACCAGCCGATCGTCATCGCATCCGTTTATCTCCCTCCTGACAAACCCCTCCTGAGCAGTGACCTCGAGACACTGCTCGGTATGGGGGACGCGGTCATTCNATTAAAAAAAAAACCTTTATACTTTAACGAATTTAAGGTACTATTTTATATACCTTTACTGCCTGTTACCTGCCCAAGTAACCACAATCGGAACTCTATAATCGCGGGTCGTTCTTACCTGTGTTGGAGACATACACAGAGAAACTTTCAGCTTTTATAAAATAACGAAGGTCTGGCTGTCGCGGGCTCTTGGGCCATAAAGAAATGAGGGCTCAGTATATGCATTAGTTTTTTAAAATCGATTCTTTTAATATTGCAAATCGATTCTTTTGATATTACAAATCGATTTATATACATTTTGGTTAATTTCACCTCTACGTAATAGTTTTAACGTGTTCATCTGAGCAGGTCATTGAATAAATAAATAAAAAGAGTACATACCTAAGTACATAATTAAAATTCCCTAATTATAATTTATGCGTATATCCAATCTGTAATTAGTGTGTGTGCCGTGCGTATATAGCGTATTGTTCAGTACCTACATATTCGGGGACTATTTTTAAAAACATTCCTAGGTAAAATATGTTTAATGCTATTTTAATTATTTAAGTACACGTACATAAAATATCCTACAAATATGTTGTTTCTTTTACAAATTAATATATTCAAAACATAAAAATAAATCTTTTTCCAGAGTTTAGGTTATACACAAATTAAAAAACACTGGAACGCTTACTAACTTTTATTAGTATCTTATTTCAGTGAATAGTCAATAATTGGCCGTAATGACTTTTGTTCCAAATTGGGAAGAGTTTGAGAAAGCCGCGGAAATGTTATATCTACAGGATCCAATAAATACTCGGTACAGTGTTAAATATTCACATTCAAAAGGTGCATTTAATGTCAAAATTACTGACAATAAAAAGGTTAGTGCCTACTTCGCATTTTAAAACTTAAGCATTTATCACATGATACAAAATCACAATGAATACATAATTATTTCACTTTAATTAAATGATTGTTCCATTAAAATACTAATGGTTTATTTAAAATATAAAATTTAATGAGAACCTTTTAAAATTGATGTTTAATTTAGTTACTTTTGTTAAATTCATCTGACAAGCTGGCAAGGGCAAATTATTTCATATTATATCAAGAGGCTGATTTTTATTGTACAGCAAGCTATTAATAACTTAGTTTAGTAAAATATTTAAGGAACTAACTTGTATGTTAGCTAAGAATCTTAAAGTTGCGGTGTATCAGTTATTTAAAAACAAAAAAACAATTATTTTTCTATTAATTTATAAAAAAATATATATTAATAACCAAACTAAGAATTAACAAAATATTTAAAAAAAATTTATACTTTTGACACTAGTCAGGATATAAGAGAGAAGTAATCAAATCATAATGTTGGGATTGATTCCTGATATATGTGCAATTTTTCAAGTGAGTCAGACATCTTGCGGTCTGAAAATGATGTTCGACGATTCCATTATATTATTATACAAACATATACATTCCAAGCTAAAAAAGCATATTAAACATGTGTGTCTATTCTTTGCATGAAATTGAACTTTGAACAAGAAAGTGCTAGAATTATTGTCTATATATTTTTGTTTAGAATGTTGTTTTGCTTCAAATTTTTGGGTACTGTATAATTTTGTAATAAGGATGTAGTACAAAATAACTGAAATTATTGAATTCTATTATTTAATTTAATAATGCTATTTATTTTTTTCTAGTGCCTTCAATACAAAACAGAAGTACAGCAAGATGTTAGGAAAATAGATAAATTTATGTCAAATTTATTAAGACATATGGCATCAAATGATAACTAAATAAATGTAATTATAAATTTACTAAGTTTTTTAATTACTTATTTGTTGTATTGTTTTTTTCAAGAATAAATTGTTTGAATTGAGATCAAAGTAGGTTATATTATCATATCTGGATAATGCCTACCTGATTATATGGCTGTATAAAGTCCTTGAAAAGAAATAATGAAAACTACATTTTCCGCCATGTGCTTAAAAATGTCTTCCATTCAAATATTGAATTATAATTACATATATGAAGCAGATTTTTAAAACTCATTTATATAAATATGTGTTCATGTTCTTTTTTTTTATTCACATTTACACAAAACATACGGCTGATTCTTACTTTTAGATCTTGATTAAAGTTGATTTAAATTTTCATTTCATTTTGTTAACCGCGAATAACATGCAGTTATAATTCACGCCATCTAACAACTATATACAAGATTTATTACAATCAGCATAGGGGATAGAGACATTAAAGTGAGTCTAGATCAGTGGTTCCCAACGTGGGGCCCATGCCCCA